AGAAATCAAACAGACTTCAGAGAGATCTCTAAATTCTTTGTACTACAGTACAATGAATTATGGGTGAATTAAGACTTGCTTGTAAGAAGAAGTGACTCCATGTCTATTTACCCTAGCAGAGAAATATGTCTTTTCTAACAATTCAATAGTTAAAAGGAAATTTTACTTTGAAATTTTAGTGGGAAAAAAAAGTGTTAATCCGACTGTGCATTAAGGAGACAAAAAAACCTCATCCCTCATCACCGAGTTAGCTCGGGGTCGTCAAGGTTATTAGTGTCTTTATTTTTGTGCAAGTTAGGACTTGTTTAACCCTAAAAACCAGTCCAAGTGTGTTAAAGTTATTTTGGTTATGGTTATGTTTGGTTATGACATCTTCTTGAATATGATCTAACAACATTCAAGGTTTCAGTCAGATCTGATATTAAAACATGTCCAACTTAGAAAACTGAGTCACAGTTCAGAAACAACGAACAATCAAAGACGTCTGTAAACACAAGTATTTGTTCTTAAAAAGATTTAAACTTATAGAAATTCCTAAGTTGCAATCCTACAGAAAACCTCACATTCTCCATTAAAAAAATCATCCCTACCTACAACCTCGTCCTCCGGCTGAAAGAAGGTAACCTTGGGACCAACTGTCAGGAAAAAACAAACAAACAAGGAAACAGACACAAAAATTAAGACCCGTGAATGATGCATCACAAGGTCTCTTACTCACTCGGCACGAAAACACACACGTGTGAATTTGTTCTGAACAATAAAGCTAATTTCAGAGTCAAAATTTGTGTCTGTTTGCGACCTTGAAGGACGACCCCGGCCACCTCTCTGCCGACAGGGATTAAATCCCTCTGCATCCCGACATCTCTGAACAGCTGTAATAGACATCAGCAAAGTAGTGAGTTATTATCAGTGATGCATTTATCAAATTATTTCAGTTCAGAGGCAACAAAAGCAGCAAGAAAGAAAAATTAAACCACAAATGTGTCTTCTTTTGATGTTTTTAAACACATTGTGACTGTGCCTCAAACAAACAAGCAGCTTTAAACAAACAGCTTTTCTAACCCATCAGGTAGGTAGTTTTTTTTTTAATTAATATTTTAAAGCATTTTGAGATCAGGTCCATCCTCTTAATACGATTAGAAATCTCTTCCACATTTACAAAATCACAGTTAATAATAGATTAAGCCCTGCTGTAGGCTACTGTAGCTCATTAATGGGAGTTACGATGAGCTACTACCTATATGGGAAAGCCTGGAGCCGGAGTGAAATAAGGTAAAGCCCTGAGTCATTATATTTATTTTTGGATGGTTCACTTATGAAACAATTATGTTTCTTACTTTTTGTAGTTTTATTCTTTTACTTGGCGGCACTGTGGTGCAGTGGCTCTGCCTTGCAGCAAGAACATCCTGGGTTTGAATCTATCTGGGGATGTTTTGGCAGAGCTTCCATGCTCTCCCAGTGTCTGAGTGGGTTCTCTCCGTGTACTCCAGACTTTCTCCAAACACATGCGTGGGGGAGGTTAACTGGTTTGACTGTGAGTTTAAATGGTTATCTGTCGCTCTGTGTTAGCCCCGTTACAGACTGGTGACCTGTCCAGCCCTCTTGACCTATGAGAGCTGGGATAGACCCGAGGCCCCCTGCAACCCTGATTTGGACAAATGGAGAATGTGTGTGGATTAATTCCAGTTTTAACCTGCGCTATAACTAAGCTACACTAACCCACACATGTTCAGCCACAGGTCTCACACTGTTAGTACCTTAAGGTCCAGTGGGCTGAGTCCACACGCCTTCACCTGAACTCTGACCTGATGGCTGCTCAGGACATCTGGGAGAGTCTGGAGAGAAACACACAAAGCCGCTCAGTGTAACAATGAAGACAAAGGTAGAAGTCATAAACACAAAAAAAAACAGCAGAAACGTAAAATATGTTTACACTAACTAAGAAATAAATCATGCATATATCTGACATGATCTTCTTCTAAACATTTTAATGCAGCTTACTATGAAAGAGCAAAAACACCTGCTAAATAATCATTTTTACAGACAGTTAGTTGTTATACATATTCAGAGAAGCAGGGATTGTTCAGTAGGCTGAGACTAATCAGCAGCAGGGAGTTAAATATGCAGATTAAGCCTGCACAGCTAATTTGCTTTTCTAATAAGTTCCTTTAATACTGACGTGCTGTAGTTGCTCAGCTGGAACCTCAAACTCACCATTTCCTGGATAACGAACTTGGGTTCAGCATCACTGACAGCTCGGCAGTACAGACCTTTCATAACGCTGCAGATTTTCATCAAATCCACAAACACAGAATATCAAAATATTATAACGTGACCGACTGGACAAATGCTCTTCAAATAACAGCTGAGTCTACTATAGGAAAAATCAAACCGCCGGGATCGGTATGGATAAAGTCAATCAGCTGACCTCCTCTTCTTCGTTGTTTTTTCTTTCTATGACTACAATACCGCCCACTACTGGACATGTAATATGAAATGAATCATTGGTGTTCGATTTCGTATATAATAATAATAATAATAATAATAATAATAATAATAATAATAATAATACAAGAAGAAGGAAAACAGTACGTTAATTAAAACTGTTTTAAGAAAAACTTATGCCTTAACAAAAGCCAGTGAATTACTAGCAAACCCTCAGTTTAATGAATGAATTTCTGCATTTATTTAGTTAATTTTATTTTTCTGCTACATTAAACCAATTCTGTTCTAGTTTTGCTTTATTTTATTTTACAACAATGAGCTATTTTTTGTCAAAGGGTCAAAATATTATGTTTTTAGTAATTTCCACTTGAGTGATATTACTATAGTAGTATTTGTTTTGTAGCTCGGTTTTATTCTAGTTAATAAGGCTATTTTATTTTGGTGTTGGTTTTCAGTATGTGTTGCCTGCAAGGATGAAATCTTAGCCATGTCGTATTTATTTATCTATGTGATTCATTACATATTTTACATTATTGCTAAGAGTTTTTAAAATTATTATTAATTTATTCTTAAAATGTATGAATGTATGTATTTTCTAATTAACAGCTGCCGACAGGAGCGCTACTAATCCGTTCATTTCGCAGAGAATCCCTGTGATCCGGACAAGAAAACCGTTCTCGCGAGATTGCGTCGATGTAATTTACCGTGAGAGAACATCTCGCGATATCTCAGTGGCGTTACCCCATTTTCCAGCTGTCCCTCAGTCGGTCAGGATTCCAGAGCCAAGGGAGATTCACCGGAAAGGGTTTTAGTGATAAAACAGCAAATTTTGGGAGAAGAGACCACATTGTGTGGTCACATAAGCACCCATCTGCCTAATTTATTCAGCATTCAACCATGGAAAGTGAACTATGAGGTAAGAGCCGAGTGCAGTATGGGTGATGTGAAAGAATGTCCCTGAGCGGGCTGGCGTTAGCTCATCACTGGTTAGCCTGCTCGCTAACTGCACTGACAGCTTTAGAGGCAATAAATGGATTTTTTTTTTTTACCGGCGTGGGATGTACTCCTATCAGCCTCCATAAGTGATGTGATGAGATGTTCAAGAATTTAAGGAAATGCGTGATATTAGTTATTGAAACAAGATCGGAGCGTAAGGAAACTGTTAAGACGATGCTACCCACCCACTGTTAATAGTTAGCCTGCATGCTAATGTTAAATCACTGCATCTGCATTGCCTGCCTGCGACCTAACGTTTAATTTCACAAACGTGTTCCTTGTGTTTATATGGAGTGTCGCTAGTACCCGGATCGGCTGAGAGTAAGATGATGAGACGACAGTGCTGACGGTGCGAGGTCAGAGAGCTGCTCTCAGGGTGGAGGTTTGTTCAGTAAGCCTAGCCTTTGCTGATATAAGTCCGGATTTTAGCCACAGCTGCTTGTCCAGTCAAAACAACGCTCCGAGTGCCTTATAATCTATCTGAAAGGGCTTAAAATCGCCCGTGTGTGTTGAGCGACACACTTCATCATTTAGCGAGTCCAGCTGAGATGATGCAGGAAGTGAGGAAGGATTGCCAAACGAATCTTTCCTGTTACTGTTTTCCAGAGAATTTAGCACACTCCCTCTGCATAAGAGAAGGTGTAACATCAGCGTTTTGATTGACAGGGCTTACTAGGCTTCGTCCGCTCGGTCTGGTTTCCATGGTAACGTGGATGCTGAGTGGCCGTCGTGAAGGTGGGAGGACTGGAGCTTGTTTCATTCCCGAGTTGATTTTAAAAAAAAAGAAAAGAAAATCTAGCCAGTACTGCTTTGATGTTGTTATGAAAACTGGAAGAAAGTGGGCTAAGAGTGAAAGGAAGAAATCTGAGCACGTTATTTTTTGCTAACCTAACTAGACATTGCTTGGAAGTGTTGTTGTATTTCTGCTTTGCACTCTCACTCAGTTCATGGCTGGTGCTTGTTGGGTCTGCATCCACTATTACACTTGTTTGGGATTGTAATTTCCGCGTGTTCTAATCAGTGATAATGTTCAGGTAATAGGATTTAAATTCAATAACGTGAGACTTGTAAAAAGACAAAATGCCAGATGTAGCGTTTCAAGTCTTTCTAATGCATTTTAATAATGGTCGTTATTGGTAAGGGACCCGTGTTAACCTGACACACAAAATTAACATGAGACAAAAAATGTGATCCACAGCTAACTCTCCTCAGCAGAACAAAACATAATGACATGCACTAATTACTGTACATTTACAAAAATGCACTCACTGAATAGCATGCTGTGTAATGCTAGCTAACAGTCTTTCAGCAGTTACGAGGGAATCCATCAGTTCACAACAGAGACTGATGGTAGATGTAGAAAGGAGCAGCCATGCATCAGAGTAACCTTATACCGAGAGAGGATCTGTTTTGCATCTTTTTAAAACTGCTCTCTGTGTCTGTGCTGGACTTTGGCTTTAGGCAGGTCTGTGTTTATTTAACAGGGACAGTGCATGTTAATGAACATCAGTGCAAGAAGATCTAACAAGCCAGAGTTTAGCAAAACTGCTAACTTGCCTCAGTTGTGACTGTTCAGGTCACATAAAACTATGTGATAAAGAAAAACATCAAGATATGTAACAAAACAAACAACATATCAGACAATAAAAGAGTTTAAAATGATCACATGCTTCGTTTGTGATAAACCATTGTTTGAGATGCGCCTTAAAAGTGGCATATGCAGAGGGCTCCTTTATTGGTATTGATAATCTAAGGTGGACTGGTGGTAGACATCGAAGGCTCTGATTGTTTCTAAGTGTATTTAGAGTCCCTATCATAAGTCAATCATTTCAATATATTTTCCCTGATTGGTTCTGGCTTCAGTCGTTTGTTTTAAGAAATCATCCACTCACTTCGTGTTGCCAGTGGTTATTTTGTCTGCACCAGATTGGCCAAGATATCTCCCAACTGCCACAGAGGAGGGCCTTTTTTATATTTCTTTGTAAAATGTGCTTTATGTATATATGATATCATACAGCCCTGACTTCTCCTGTAGATAGAAGGCAGGGCTTGAAACATTCACAAACAATGCTCACAACAGTGTATTTATTGTATGGAAAGAACGTGAACTATTGTGGTAATTGGTGAACCAGTACAGTTGTCTAATAAAGCGAAAAAGAAGAAGCTCAGTGCAACAAAGGTGAATATGTCTGTGGTCACTAAAATACCACACCTGTGGTTTCCTATAAACCTAACTGCATGAAGGGTTATAAAAATGACTCGGACACAACAGACTTTTCTTAGTTATCTCTGTGTTTTCATTGTGACTCCAAATGATGAGCTGAAAAAAGTGATTGTGTGTGCACAAACAGACCGACAAACGAGTGATATGTTGATATATATGAGTGATATGTGGCAAAGGAGAGTTTCTGTGACTTCTTAGAAAGTGTGACGAACAGTGGATAGCATTAGATGTCATCTAGCATGTTCGGCGTTAACCTGGTGAAGACTACAGCGAAGACAACATCCCAACAGTGAGGTGTGAAAGTGGAAGTGGGATTTCTACGGGGCTGCGAGAGTTCAAAAGGTGTTGAGGAGGAGACATCAATGCATCAAAAATACTGTAGAACAAGGGGAGTCTATCCCACCATAATTAACCAAACATCAATCTCAGCATCGCATAACAGTTTGTTCCAGTGTGTCCCAGAGCTCCATTCAACAGGGTTGGTTGTTTTATTTTATTTACTCTTTTTAACTGCAGGACTTTTAGAGGGTAAAAAATACAGTATAGTGCACAAACAAGGACAAAGTTTTAAGATAGATTAGGCGGTTAATCTGCATTCTATTATATGGAAACCATAACCTGGAGCCCAACTCAACATTTAACAAATCTGCTTATCTCGGTAAACTTGATCTTCTACCAGAGGCCTGGGAGTTTTCTCTTATCTGTGTACATGCATGTATCAGTGATGAAACCCCGTATAGTCATACTGCCATACCGTATGACAAAGAATACCATTGGCTAACCTGATAAGACGGTTAACAGTGTAAGAAGGACAGATATAGGAAGTATATACTGCAACTGCAACTCAACACATCTCTGTTCTCTCATTTCACTACCTTCGCTGCTTTGTTTACTGCTTTGGTTGCTGTAACATGGGAATTTCTCAGTTTTGTGCTAAATAAGATTTCCAACCTTGGTATCAGGGTCAGAATTTCAGCTTGAGCTCAAAGCTCCTGCACAGCCATCGTAATGGGTGTTGCCACTGATATTGCCTTATTACATGTTTATTCACAACAATACAGGATGTACAGTATGAACACACAGGACAAATGACGCAGTTGTTCATCACTTGCTTTGTAATCATTGTTTAACGAGATTTAATTTCACATTTCAAGAATAACAGGTAATCAGCACCAGCACTAACAGTAATCTCAGGATAAAAAGTGTTTGAGCAGCTTGAGTGAGGCAAAATTGTGAGGCTCCAAATCTACTCAGAATTTAAGAAGCTACATGGTGAGAATAGTGTTGTATTTCCTTTTTAGTTGCTGTACCACTGATGAAGTTGGTCTTGCCTTCAGATTTTAAAGATTTTGCAGCATTACTAATCAGGGAGAAGGCAAGACATGTTATCCAGGACCCTGGTAGCAGGAGGGGCCTTTTTTTTTTTTTCAAGAAATGAAATGTTTTTGGTTTAAATATTTTTTTTCTTGTTGGTGCCATGATTAAATTGCCTAAATAAATCCAGCGGGTGGATAAACTTTAATTCCAAAAAATGGGGAATGGTGGTCCTCTGATTCCACTTTCACAACTTAAAAATAATGGAGTCAGTCTGGCTTCACAGCACAGCTGATGTATTCTGATTTCTGTTTCCTCAAGACAGTAAAACTCAGGTTTTTAAAAAAAGAAAAAAGTGGAAAAATAGGGAAGTCCACTCTTAAGAAATACACCCTTAGAAACAGACACAGAGTAGAACTAACAGGTCAAGAATGTTTTAGCTAAGAGCAGCTGTAGGAGTCCGATAGATGTCAGATGTGACCCTGTACCTATTAAATTTACCCAGCACAACAGCCAGAGTGAAGCAGCAGCAGGTCCCCCTCCAGATAATGTGGCACAAGCTGAGCTCATATAGTGGCAACTAAAATTATTCAAAGCAGTCAGCATATTGATAACAGTTTCAGCTGAAGCTGGGCAGCACTAAAATCAACCAGCATTATTCTTTATTGTATCAGCGGTTCCTAACCAAAAGTGTGCGATGAGGTAAGCAGGGCCATTGTGTTTCAGGCTGATAAAATATTGCAAAATATTTCAACGATGCTGGTTCTTGAGGTTAAAAAATGGTTTGTAGGTAGTTGCTTAAATGTCTGTGGATGCATTTATTTAACTTTTCCTAGTTCTAATCAATGAAACACATTATAGAATCTAATGCATTTTAACATAATGCTTTTAGGCCCGTTCAAACAGGATACTGTATTTACAGAGTTACACAATTATCAAGATAATTACATTATTAAATAATCTGCTCTGACACTGCTCTGGTAATCTTGTGTTTGTGCTGGGTGGGAGTGGGTACTGCCACCTATCAAGCCTCAGCACTTGACAGCAACGTGATAAAGAATGTGGTAGAGCGTGTTGGATGCAGAGCTTGGGGTCAGTGGCACAGGGTGTGTTCAGAGCGGGTGTGTCTTTCACGTGTGAGTGAGAAGAGGAGGAAGGAGGGGGTTGGACTTGGTGTGTGTTTGATAAAATGCACATGTTATTTATATGTGGGGGGAGTATGTCGCGTGTGAGCACTCATGCAAGGAGCCTGCAGTTATTAATATCAACACTGTCACTGTTAAGCCATCTGACAGGATGCAACAACAAAATAACAAATGAATATTCTTAAGATCAGGGTTTAGTTCTGTCATTCAATGATCTTCTGCTTCTCCTTATGTGCT